CCAGATGATCCAGGGTTTCAGTGTACCTCTGTTACAGTTTCCTCTGAGTTCTGCATCCAAAACAACTTTAAGGCTGCTGGCTGAGATGGACCAGCCACACAAAATACCCAAGCCAGAACTTGAGTATAATTCTAAATTTTCTCAGGGTCCCCATAAGTGTACTAGCACCCCCAATCAACAGGAAGTAGTCTAGAGAACTGTGCCCAAATTCCCAAATTATTGTTTGTGAATGTTTGTTTTCATTTAAGGGGGGTTGGTTATAAATGGTTAATGGTCATGGTCAATCTCTTTCTAAGAAGAAAGGAAGATATTATATTAAAATGATGGGGAAAAGGGTAGATTATTATGATTGAAAAAGGGTAGATTATTAAATTTACTTTAATCTAAAATACAACTGTTGAACAACTCAAAATATTTTACAAATGGATTTTAGTATATCAATACAAATTTAAAGTCAATTGTTGTTATACTGTATATATATTTATACTCATGTTTAAGGTATTATTTTTATGTAGCTCATTTCAAAATGTAATGTATAATTATAAAATACAGGTTAGTAGTCATCTATAGTAGTAAAACTTATAGTCATATTAGTTAGGTTTTCTAGGTATACAAAGATACATTTCAGTTAGATAGGCAATCTTCGAATATTTCAAAGACCTACAGAATGTGACATTTAAAATGTTTTAAGAACTTAGACTTTTCTCATTGGTGAGACATGTCTGCTCCTGGCAGCACCCAATATACTTCAGAGAAGATGATGAGTACTGAAGAAACTCCATATGGAGTTTACTTTCTTTGTGGCAAAAGTTAGCCACTGGGCACAGAACTGCTCTTGCCTCAGCTGAGGACAGCATGCTGTCCAAATTGGACAGGCAGGACAGAAAAGAAAGTGACTGCAGAACTTTATTTACTAAGACAAGGTGGGACAGTCCTTCAGAAATCCTGCTTCACAGATGAGTCTGTTAGATATGCTAGACCTGTAGGCCGAGGATGGATGTCCCAATGTTGCAGAGGAACCTTGGGTGACTGTCCAGGCAACCAACTCTTTCTGTAATTTCTTAATTTTTGGAAGTTGTTTCCCTTATACTTCCTATTTACTCAGATAATATTATATCCTTAGGTCTCTGGTGGAGTTGAAGACTACATAGTTCTAATTATCATTTTTCCTTAATTATAATAGAACGTAAATTAGATACAAAACTTTAGACTCACCAAGATAATTATTTTCTCTAATTTTGCCAAATGCAAGTGAATTAGATAGTGTTACTATTAGTTTTACTTAATAACTGTTTTTGTTGTATATAATCTTACTATATTAAAGTTAAAACCTTCCTTTTTAATTAGACCAAAAGGGGGGAATGCTGTGGATTATGCTCATTGTTAATAAGTAGCTGACAGTCCTGTGGCTGGGCCAGAAGTTAGGTGAGAAAGCCAGGCTGAGAATGCTGGGAAGGAGAAGGGCAGAGTCAGGAGCTGCAAGTCAGACTCAGAGGAAGCAACATGAGAATGCCATACTGAGAAAAGTTACCAAGCCACATGGCTAAACATAGATAAAGATTATGGGTTAATTTAAGTGTAAGAACTAGTTAGTAATAAGCCCAAGCTATCAGCTGAGTATTTATAAATAATGTTAAACCTTTGAGTGGTTATTTGGGAACTGGCAAGCAGGAGAGAACTGTCCATTTACACATGAAACAACAAAAATACCCAAACAACCAAAGCAATTCCAAGCAGAAATCTTAGTGCTAGTGTTATCTGAATACTTGATCTCAAATTGTACCATGACCACTGATAATGAAAAGTGTGGCACTGCACAGAAAGGGACTGACAGACCAATGCACTAGAACAGAGGCTCAGAAGTAAATCCATGCAAATACACTAACTTCTAGGTATCAGAAAGACACATTGGGAATCTCTATTTGTCAATGGGTTCTAGGAATGCTGGCAATCCACACATGTAGAAGAATAACAGTAGATTCTTAGCCAGTGGCTCTCAACTTTCCTAATGTTGTCACCCTTTAATACAGTTCCTCATATTGTGGAGACCCCCAGTCATAAAATTATTTTTTTTTTGCTACTTCATAACTAGTTTTGCTTCTGTTATAAATTGTAATTTCAATATCTGAAGTGCAGGATATCTAATATGTGACCCCTGTGGAAAGGTCGTTTGACCCTCTAAAGGGGTTGCAGCTCACAGCTTGAGAATTGCTGTATCTGCCATTGTGCATAAAAATTCAAAACACATTAAGGTCTTAGTTTAAGACCAACTACCCTGAGGCTGCTGGAGGAAACCTTGGGTAAATACTCCAAGACAGGCATGGGCAAGGACTCCAGTAACCTGGGAAGATATCCTAGGTGTTCACTGATGGGACTGTGTTAGTTTCTCTTCAGTTGCTGTGATAAAACACTGTTACCAGGGCAACTTAGCATATAAAAGAGTTTATTTTGGCTTATGGTTCCAGAAGGTTGGAATCCGTAGTGGCAGGACAGCATGGGAACATGACCATAGGCAGCCACCGTGACAGTGGGAATGGAGCAGGAAGTTTAGAGCTCATATCTTAACCATAAGCACAAAGCATCAGAGAGGGTGAAATGGAAGTGCTGTCGGCTTTTTCCTCAAAGCCCACCCCAGTGCCATCCTTCCTCCCATGAGGCTGCACCTAAACCTCCCCCAACAGCACCACCTACTGGGGACAAAGTTCAAATGCCAGAGACTATGGGGCATTTTTCCTTCAAAACACTGCAGCGGGTTCATGAAATTTCTACACTTCTACAAGCAAAGTGAATAGACAGCCTTTGCATAGGAAAATACTTTCGCCAACTCTTCATCAGATAAAGGCTTGTTATATGAAATATATTGAGAACTGCAGAGATTAAACAGCAAAAGTGCTAAATCATTCAATGTACAAATCGACTAATGAACTCAATGAATAGTTCTTGAAACGAGAAATAAAATTGGCTAGTTTGAAATAGTGTTTAATGTTCTCAGTCATCAGGAAGTACAAATTAAAACTACTTCAGGAGGGCTGGAGAGACGGCTCCGTGGTTAAGAAAGGGTGCTTGCAGCCCTGCTGGGGGACTGAACTCATTTCCCAGCACCCACACTGGGTGGCTCACAACTGCCAAATGTTCAGCCCCAGGAAATCTGACTCCCTTTTCTGGCCTCTACATCTGGACACCTGTAGCATACATTCACACTAAAACACACACAAATATATGTAAGCAAAAATAAATCTTAAAAGAAAAGCTATTTTGAGATTACATCTCACAAATTGCTACCATCACAAACAAAACAAATGACAAGTGTAGCAGGTGTGCTGGGAAGGAGGAATCCTTGTATACTGGTGCTGGTGTGTAAGCTTGTGAGGTTAGCAAGTGTGTAAGCTAGTGGTGAGGTTAGCAAGTGTGCTGGGAAGGAGGAATCCTTGTATACTTGTGCTGGTGTGTAAGCTTGTGAGGTTAGCAAGTGTTTTGGGAAGGAGGAATCCTTATGTATCGGTGGTAGTGTGTAAGCTAGTGAGATCAAGATGAGATCATTATGGCTGTTTCTCAAAATAGAACTAACATATGACCCAGCACTGCCACTCCTGGGGTTTGTCTGATGGGATCTTAGCATATCATAGAGACATTTACATGTCCATGTTTTTATTACACTGTTCGTAATATGCAGGATTGGAATCAGCCTTGATGCCTAATCAATGGATGGATAATGAAAATGTGATACATGATAGAGTTTTATTCAGCTATAAGAAAAATGAAATCATGACATTTATAGGAAAGTGGATAGAATTGGAGAATATTCATTAAGTGAAATAAGCTACTCCAGACTCAAACCAGGTCTTCATGTTTCATCTCTTCTGGGAAGCCCATATACTTTATATATACACGCTGTGTGTGTGTGTGTGTGTGTGTGTGTGTGTGTGTGTGTGTGTGTGTGTGTGTGTCTGTCTGTCTGTCTGTCTGTCTGTCTGAAGAAGGGGCTATGAGATGTGGGGAAGACATCATGAAAAGGGGGAGGGAGAATGAGAGAGAAGCTATGTGACATGACAGCAGCAGCAAGGTTGTTTGGGGGAGAGAGCCAGCTGAGGGGTGATGGGAGGCAGTGGGAGAGGAGGATGAAGGACACAAAGATGACATGAAAGTGCCCTGAAGAAACCTATAACTTTGTATGGTGACTTAGTAATATCACACTCTTGTAAGACACCCCCAAAGGGCTGTGTATGTATTTCTCTAATAGTGGATGTAGATGTGGGCTGTTGTGCTAGAAAGGGGAAATAAAAAGGGAATCCTGAACAGAGAAGGAAGATATGGAGTTGCAAAAGACGTGGGGATGGAGAAATGGGTAGAGCCATTCAGAGTGCTGCTACATGCCTGTTAGTTTGGATCCAGCCCCCATGCAACATACCACTAGCTTCAGCACTGAGAGATAGGCAGCCTTTTCTATCCTCTGTGCCCACAGGCACACACAGTTGTGTACACACACACACATACACACCCCTGCCTAAATAAAATGTGAAACAATAAATGTTTATAACAATGGATAAAATATAGTGTTGTAAGGTAAAGAAGATTTACCATTTTCTGTATGGGCAGTGACATTTTTAGGACACATAACAAGGTGATGGGGACTAATCTGTACCAAGCAATTAACACTGTCATAAACAAGCAAAAGAGGAATTTTGAAGCACCATTCTCTCCATTATCCGAGACAGTATTAACTGCTCAGTGCTAGTGAATAAACCATATGGAATACTAAACTGCCTCATGGAGGACTAGTGGGTTATTGTGCATATGTTCTTCAGTGGGTTGGACTGAGTCTCTTTGACTGTTAGATGGGAAGTATGTTCCTCAGAGTATAGCAGGTTGTTGTCCACGTGTTCTCCAGTGCCTTGCACTGATTCTTCTTGGTTAGGTGGGCAGCATTGTCTTTTTAAATTCTTTAGGAGATAATCTCAGAATTATTTCAGGAAGATCTCTTTTCTGTTATCTCCTTTCAGTTACAGATTCATGATAATGGAACGACTGGGAATAGATTTACAGAAGCTCTCAGACCAGAATGGTGTTTTTAAAAAATCGACTGTCCTGCAACTTGGAATCAGGGTGGTGAGTTCAAGATGGTTCACTTCAAATGTCTCAGTTTTAGATTATTTACTTGTTTTGCTTTTTATGGAATTATGAGAAAATAAGAATTATTTCCTAGGAATGGCAGTTATAAAGAGTAGAAAGGATTTTGGTGAAATTGATGACCATGGGCTTTGCAGAATACAGGCTGTGTTGTCTTTGGCCATTGTTATTACACTCAGTTTTCCATCACAGCTTAGTTTTTCATATCAGAGCAAGCTTATATAGCTGCAAGAATAACCTTTCTTTTGTCTGTTACATTTGTAATACAAATTATGGCCAAATAGACTACTTCTCATACTAAATATGGTATGATTTGATTTAAAATATTTTAAGTCTAAGTTGGGGTGGTGGCATTAATTAATTACAGCAATGGATGACACAGACACACACAGACACACACACACATACACACTGCTAACTTTTAAGCAAGTAGTCACAAATGACCATGCATACATTCATTTGTTGATCATGCCACATATTTACCTTATTTGTATGTATCTTGCTTTAGTCTCCTCCCGCCCCTAATTATACGTAGAATGAAACAGATCAGGCCAGGTTGTCATGTGTTAATTTCTCCATTTACCTATTCATCTATCCATTCTCCTAGTGAGTGTTCACAGAACACCTCTCTCTCATATATGTCTCTGTGTTTGTGTGTGTGTGTGTCATATATATATATATATATATATTTGACATGCAAGATTCTAGGGATTTATTGATGCCTAAGAGTTTGTTATTACACAAGATAATGATCAGAGGTATAATATTTTGTTCTGATATCTTCAAGATTTGAATTACAGTATTGATTGATGAATGAACTATATGACTGTTTCACCATAGATGTCTTTTCTATGTTCCTGTAGTTTTTATGATATTTATTCCCAGTCTAAATTGGTTTTCTAGTTACTATGATGGAGTACTCTGACAAAAGCAAATTAAAGGAGAAAGTATTTACATTGTTTCATAATTTGAGGTTATAGTCCCTCATGTTGGGGAAGTCACAAACAACAGGATATTAGGGTACATGATCACATTGCATCCACATTCAAAAAGAATGATGGGTGTCTGTGCCAGGTTTCTTCATTTTGTACAGTTCAGACTCTCATCCCAGGGAATGGTGCCACCCACAGTGGGCAAATCTTCCCTTCAAACTTAGTCTACTCAAGATAATTCCATACAGGTATTCCCAGAGGCTCAGCTCCCATGTGATTCTAGATTTTCTCAACTTGACAAGTGAGATTAAACATCACATTCACCTTTGTTCATTTTGGCCTAGCCATTGGGCTTTCAGGACCATAAGAATAAGTATTGTTGAATCTTGATTTCCCTCTCTCAGAGGTTCAAGTATAGTATTTGATGTTTGAGGATCATTTCATCCAACCTTTTATGAGATGAGCAACCAGAAATTATGATATATTAGAATAAGCAGTAAGAGTGAGATACATTATTTTATAATGTGTAGAAATAAACCATTGTATTCAAGTGTAAAACATTAATATTGATCTTATCTATTTTTTTCACAGCTGGACATACTGGAATATATACATGAAAATGAATATGTTCATGGTGATATAAAAGCAGCAAACCTACTGTTGGGCTACACAAATCCAAATCGGGTAAAGAGAGGATTAATTAACATTGGCTTTCAGCAAGCATCTTCAGAGTTCTTTAGTCAAACTTAGTAAAGACAGACTCTTAACCCACAAGAGTTTACAAATGAGGGCTTAGTATGATGAATGTTTCAATTTGTCTTACCTTGCTTACCTAATTTAATCCTTGCTCCAGATTAATGAGTAATTAGGATGAAGAAACCGAGAGTCAGAGGGTTAAATCATTTGCTAATGGACACACATTGAAGAAGTGCCTGAGCAGGAATCTGAGTTTCTAAGCAAATGTAGATAAAGTACTATAGCAATCTAGGGAGAAGGAATGGATGTGTGCAGGAAGGTAGCTGTGTGGGGCTCCATTTCTTCTCCCTATAGTTTGAGCAAAGAAACATTTTCAAAAGAACTTTCCATTGTGGTAGAAATCTTCTACCCAATGTCATAGCATTCCTTGAGATGTGGCCAAGACAATATCAGTTTCAAACAGTTGGTAGTGGCCAGGGGTTGGAAACCAGGGGTGTGAACAGAGTACTAATGGTTTCTAGGGCATTGAAACTTGTGTGTACATCAAGAATGCACATACACCATTATTTCTTTGTCAAGTCCCGCTTTCATTGCATACCATGGGTGATGCTGGTATGTCATACCTTGGGTGATACTGGTATGTCATGTCGGTTGATCCATATTAACAAAGGCTTCACTGAGCAGTGTTGAGGTAAAAGCTGTATGTCTAGGGGCTGGGACTATATGGGAACTCAGAGCACTTGCTGCTTAGTTTTACTTAAATTGCTCAAAATTTATCAACATGAAACATAAAATTTTCTTCAAATAAGTAATAAAAATATGGCAAAAATAACTGAATAGCTGAAATTTTAATTTAATTTTAAATAAATATATGCAACTATTACCTACTGTCTCAACAGATTTAAAGTAAAAGAAACTAAGACTCAAAAATGTTAGAAAACTATAATTAAATGCTTAATAGACCTCTGTAAGTATTGAAAATTCTAAATAAGAGAAAAAGTCTCTACAGAAAATACCAATGGGTTAAAAATTTAAATATATCTCTAAATTAATCCTAGACATAAGGAATGAGTACCTGTTAGATATTTTTTAATAAATATTTGAAAATATCTAGCAAACAAGAAATTAATAGAAAATCATAATTTCATATAATTTTATCAATGTAGTGATAAAAATGAAATCAGGATGGGGGGAAGAAGATGTAGCACTGTCCTTGAGATGAAAATAGGTCACCTGTACTAAAACTAGAAGATGTGGAGAAGGAACAGTGGTGCAGCTTCCTTAAAAAACAGCCAAGTAGAGAAAATCTGAGAGAGTAAGCAAGGAGACAGATATTCTTTTAGCTGTTTCCATCACTTAGCAGAATAATTCAAACCTTTGTAATTGGTTTTTACTACTGGATAGTATTTTTTGAATAGTACTATTACTTTATCTGTTTGCCTGGTCTTGGACATTTGGATTTTTTTTTAGGTTTTATTTTGATTATTATCTAACATGGTGTTGGGAAACCAAACTCAGGTCCTCTGGAAAAGCAGCCAACTGCTGCGCCATCTCTCTAGGCTGTAGTCGTTAGGTTTTGACAGTTATGAATAAAATGACCGTGAACTAAGATGCATGTAAAGCTTTTATGCAGGCTTGTGTTTTACTTTCCTTTAGGGTAAATAACTGAGAGCTGACTTTCTAGGTCATTTGATAATGTATATATGGTGTAGAAACTGCCACACTCTCCTTCAGAGATGTCATTGCGAAGTTTCTATCAGTAATATGTGACAATGACATTTCCATTAGTTTTTTGAGTTTCAGCGTTTCTGATAGTTGCTAGGCACCTGTCATTTACATCTGCCTTAGTCACATGCTGGCACTGACCAAGTTGTATTTGCTTGCTTCCAGTCCTGTGTTTTCTTGGCGAACGTGTCCATTTTTAAAGAAACTTCTAAATGAATTGTGGTGTCTTTATGTTTGAGGGTAGGAGCTTTGTCAGATGTTTGTGCTGTAGATAATGTCTACAGCTTGGCCAGTCTTGGTTTCCTTCCTGATGTCTTTGATAAGTAGGTGTGAGGTCCAGTAGAAGACTATCTTTATTACTGTAATTATAGAATGCAAAAATTAGGTCATGGGCATCTTCAACTTCGTTCTTTTGTTTTAAAAACAAATTGTTTTGGCTACACTGGCGTCTTTGGAATTTCATATATTGGAATCAGTTTGTCAGGTTTACCAGCAAACCTGTTAGGACGCTGACTAACTGTTGTGTGCTGTGACACATTTACTATGACACTGTAGACTGTCCTGAGGAGGTGCCAGGCCGGCCACCTCACAAGGGGCCACCTTCCCGTGCTCCCTTTGCTTGTTTTCCTTTTACTAATTCACAATATTTTCTTATTTTCCTTGATACTAGCTTTTTTTTGTTGTGGTTATGTGGAATTGTGTTTAAATTTCATATATTTTGGAGCTTTTAAATCTTTCTCTGTCAGTGATTCTTCTATTTAAATTATGTGTACCTATATGTGTCTGTGTTCATGAACGCAGTTGCCTTTAGAGGTTGTAAAAGGGTGTTCATTGCCCCAGAGTTGGGATTACAGATGTTTTGAGCTACCTGATGTTGGTGCTGGGAACTGAACTCAGGCCCTTTCCAAGAGCAGTACGTGCTCTTAACTGATGAGCCCTCTCTCCAGCCCCTGCCAAAGATTTTTTTTTTTAATTTTGGAAAAATTTCAAAAGAATTTATTATTTTTGTTTATGTGTATGGTCGTTTTGCTTTCATGTGTTTCTGTGCACCACCTGTGTGCTTAGTACTGCCAGAGGCCAGAAGAGAGCGTCAGAATCTTTGGAACTGGACTTCTGGTCAGCTGAGAGCCACCATGAGATGCAGGAAATGGAAGTGCATCCTCTCTCCCAAAGAACAAGTGTTCTTAACCACTGGGCCATCCTCCTAGCCCTTGCTGGAGATTGGCAGAATCTTAATTCTGTTTTGATTAGAGAATTACACTTTATGATTTTAGTATTTTAAAGTCTATTGGCAATTACTTTATGTCTAAAGACACAGGCCACTTTCTGAATATTACATAGACCCTTGAAAATAACATATATCCTGCTACTTGGTTTGGGGTATATGTTTAATAAATGTCAGTAAGGTAAAACTGGTTGAGTTTTGTTTCAGTTTTCAGTATCTCTATGAGAAGAATTTAGAAACTCTTGAATTTTTCTCCTTTTAAAGAATCCTCATCAGCATTTCCTTTGTGTGCATTGGTTGCATATGGGATTTTTATGTCTTTTTTATCAATTGTCTCTTTCATCTTTTTTTGGAAGTCTGTTTTTTGTCTTTTGTTGGTATAACCATCATAACTGCTCTTGATCTCAGCACTGTATGTCTTTCCTATCTCTTTGCTTTTAACCCTTTCCCCTGTACATGTGTATTAAACTCTTGGCGAGGGTGTGTCCATTAGAGGCTTGTTTTCATGCTTTGTTAGTCTAGGTTTATAGGAGCCTGTGCTCAGAGGGTTATTTCTGCTTCCAGCCAATTAATTCACCATGGGATTCATCACTTCAGTAGTCAGGAGTAGACCGTCTCTCACCCCTTGAGATCGGGAAGAGGTTCAACTTCCTGCCCTCCCTCCGGGTGCCACAACTGCCTGTGGTTCTCTCCCTTCTGAACCTTCAGCTTCAGGTTCTGCCTGAGCCTCTGCCCTCTGATGGTTGCCCACTCCATGTGCTAGTTAGGATGTCTCTGGGTGCTCATACGGTTCACCTATTTGTGGCTCTTTTGAGGAGCACAGTCTTGTGTCATATGTTTAAAACCTCCAAACACTTACTTACTTCACAATTACTATGTGCAGCAGGGGTGAAAATCCAGGCAGACTTACTTTCATCATTTTTAAAACTAAGAAGGCCAGCTTCAGTAATTTAATTTTGTTGAATTTCTGTTCTTGCCATTTGCCCATTCTTATCTTCATTTATTTTGTTATTCCCTCCATTTGGAAGAGGTTTTTAAAAATAATTGATTTCTTTTTATTTTATGTGCATTGGTGTTTTGCCAGTGAGCATGTTTGTGTAAGCGTGCTGGATTCTCTGGAACTGGAGTTACAGTTGTGGGCTGCCAAGTGTGTGCTGGGAATTGAACCTGAGTCCTCTGGAAGAGCAGTCAGTGCTCTTAACCGCTGAGCCATCTCTCCAGCCCCTGGAAGAGTTTTTGTATGAACTGTCTGAGTCCTTTTGCTGCTGTATAACTTACATGTCTGATTTTCTTAATAATTTACATTTTTTTTTTTTTGAGAGGATCCCAATAGACCTGGCTAGCATAGAATTCCCTCATGTAGCCAGGGCTGGCCTTGAATTCCTCATCCACCTACCTTCAGTTCCAGAATGCTGGGCCACAGGAATGAGCCACCGTGCCTGGCTTTCCAATCTGTCTTCTGTACTTTATCTGTGCTTTGGACCTTTTCTTTCCATGCAGATGATCATTAATAATGTGGACAAGGGTACCAGCCTTTTATTTATTACAGATCTTGTGTTATAATTAGGGAACTTACTTATAAGAACTTCATTGCATAATTTGATTTTATTCTTTACATGAAAAGACATAGAGCTTAACTTTACCTTTTGTAAGTTTTAAGTTTTTCCCATTTCTGCAACACTTTGTTGGCGTCAGTTACTGTGTTTAATCATAATACTTAGTTTCTTCTGTTGAATCTTACTGTGCACGAGCACACATGTGTGTAGCTCTAGACCGTGTGTGTGTGTGTGTGTGTGTGTGTGTGTGTGTGTGTGTGTGAGTGATTGTGTGTGTGTGCACAATCCCAGCGCATTGACCTCCCATGCTCTTTGCCGTGTTTCAGTGTTAGGTTGGTCTGACCGTCCTTTGCTGCTGTCTTCCCACCTCTTACTCTCTTCTGTATTTCCTTTTTGTTACGTTTTTTTCTTCCTCATCATCACTCTAGCCATATTTTCTGTGTTCACTTATCTAGATAGGTTAAGAAATATTTGGTATTCTT